CCCAAAAAAAAAAAAAAAAAGATGGCAGCAACAATTCTAAAACCCGGCACTTTTAAGCATATTACGTGTCGGAATAATATTTACCCAAAAAGTACAGTGAAACGCTTTATCGTGCCAGATGAATTCGTCTATTGGTCGGTAGACTATAGCAAATATACGCCTCCAATTTATACTGCGCCACACATCAATGGACAACCTTGGGCTGATGCGGACATCGGATGTGCGGACTTTCAAGTGAAATGGAATGAGCTAGATGGCGCTGTAAATCGGATCTCGTTTAACGGCATTTATAAAATTGAAAATGGATATCCGATAAATCCGATTGGGCGTACTGGCCTGCGCGGGCGTGGATTACTGGGTCGTTGGGGCCCAAACCATGCTGCCGATCCGGTAGTAACTCGCTGGAAGCGGGATGCTGATGGAAATGTGATACGGAATAGTGAAACCAAAAAGTACTTGTTTTTAAATACACTTATTAAAATGTTCTTCTAATGTTATATTCTACGATTTGATTACAGAAGTATTTTGCAAATGGTAGCAATTCAACGTCATGACAATAAAATGTGGGCCATACCAGGCGGAATGGTGGATCCGGGCGAAAAGGTTAGCGTAACACTTAAACGCGAATTCATGGAAGAAGCTTTGGATAGCTTTGGTTAGTAAGATTTCTGAAGGAGACATTTGTGCATAGCAAATTGACACTTTTTTTTGTTTTGTTTTTAATGCAGATAACCAAAAGATGATAGAGGAGTTCTTCGCAAAAGGGGTAGAGATCTATAAAGGATATGTGGATGACTTCCGAAATACAGATAATGCTTGGATTGAAACAGTGGCGTACAATTTCCACGATGAAGATGGAACTCAGGTGGGAAAATTGATGCTCTCAGCAGGGGATGATGCCGCCAATGTTAAGTGGCTGGACACAGACAGTAGCATACAACTGCACGCCAATCATGTTGACATAGTAAAACAGGTTATAGAGCGTTTGAACGCACATTGGTAGAATGTTAGTTTATCATTTGTTTGAAAAAAAGCGCCGCTATAAAAATTTTTCGCAGAAAATGGATAAAAGTTAACTTTTTTGTTTTTCTCTTTCACGAACCAAAAACTTGGCATCACTTGCAACGCTGATAAATGCCGAAAGGTGTCAGTTTTGCAGGTTTTTTATTGTTGCTGTGCTTTTGTTGCAAATCAGCTGTTTACTAGTACAAATTTCTTTTATTTTACGATTGGAGTAGGTGAAGTTTTGTGGTTCCATGCGGTTAAAGTTATTGCAAAATATATACAGAACATTCCGCAACCCTCGTAATCCTATGGCAATTTTTACGCAAGTGGTTAATCCGTTGACTGGCCAAAATGAATGGGCTGTACAGAGCGATGACTACGATTACCAAATGGAGCTAACATGTACCGGCTTTGGAGATATGTTGCACGATAGGGAACGCAATCAAAAATACTTTTCAGCATTGCGAAAGGCCATCGCGCGCATGCACGCCGATGGACGTGAAGTCCACGTGTTGGATATTGGCACTGGTACAGGTATTCTTTCCATGATGGCTTCAAGTGCTGGTGCTGACTCAGTTACAGCGTGTGAAGCATTTACGCCTATGGCAAATTGTGCGGAGCGCATATTAGCAGCTAATGGGTTTGGTGATAAGGTGCGCTTGGTGAAGAAACGCTCAACTGAAATGCGTATTGGTGAAGATATGCCGCAGAGGGCAAATCTATTAGTTGCTGAACTATTGGATACAGAGTTGATAGGCGAGGGAGCAATCAGTATATACAACCACGCGCACGACGAATTGTTAACGGACGATGTCGTTTGCATTCCCGCACGGGCAACATGCTACGCGCAAGTGGTGCAATCGCCACTTGCCGCCCAATGGAACACAATGAAAATTCTTGCCGATTTAGATGGAAATATATTGCTGAAACCACCAGAAGAAGTATTGCAATGCAAGGGCGAAGCAGCGGTGCATGACGTCCAGCTTTCTCAATTAGGTCTAGAACACTTTAGACTTCTAACCAAACCAAAGGAAATATTTGTTTTTGATTTTAGCCAAAAGTTAAAAAGGCCTACTGAAAGACAGCAATTACTAGAAATGGACGCACTGCAAGCGGGTTCAACAGATTTAGTATTCTATTGGTGGGATATACAAATGTATGCAGATGATATGATGACTTTGAGTTGCGCTCCATATTGGGCACATTTCGATTGGAAAAAACCAAAAGATGTTCTACCATGGCGAGATCATTGGATGCAGGCAATCTATTATATACCAAAGCCTTTACATATTTCCACCGCTGGTGGGAAATTTATGCTCAATTGTAACCATGATGAATACTCTCTTTGGTTTGACATGCAAAGCACACCGAGCGAAGTTTTAAAGGCCGTTCCACGACATGCATGTACTTGCGGTTTACATTTCTCTTATCCCCGTTCACGTATTGGCCAACTAAATCAGTCCATACGTAATAAAAAGTATCTTAACTATCTAGAACAGAATTTGAGCAAAGATTCACACGTACTGTGCCTTGGCGATGGATGTATTTTGGGTTTAGCTATAGCTAAAATGGGAGTCTCTTCTGTAATACTGTGTGAAAAGCAAACATTTTCCAAACGATTCATGGATTCTGTACAGAAAAGCAATAAAATTGAAAACGTGGAATTTGTCGACAATATAGAGAAGCTCGATCAGTCGAAATTGTCAAATCTGACGCATATTTTCGCTGAGCCATACTTCCTTAACGCTATTCTACCCTGGGATAATTTTCGCTTCAGTGAACTTTTACAAAGCCTCTTAGACAAATTACCACCAACAGTGAAAATAGCACCACATTCAGCTAAAATATTTGCAGTACCGGTTGAATTCACCGACCTTCATAAAATACGTACGCCTGTGAAGCAATGTGAAGGCTTTGACTTGGGAATATTCGACCAAATGGTTAAGGTAAGAGCTAACATTTTAAAACAAATACATCTAATAGCACGCACAATCTATTTAAAGCAAGCAAGATCAGTACTACCAGATAAAGGAGTTGAAGCGCAACCGCTTTGGGAGTATCCCTGCAAAGCTTTAGCTACACCTCAGGAAATTTTACATGTTACTTTCAGCGATTTTAACGCGGAGTGCTCCACAAGTGGAACGATGAAAATAGAAAGGTGAGCTAGCTCTATACATATGTATCAACAGATACATACGGTGAACCAAATGAAAACTGTGACGCGACATTTTAGCATTCTCTTAAGTTTATTTATTGATTATTATTTTGGAAGTATAGCTGATTTCTTAACAAACACTATAAGTACAAATCCAAATTTCAGACTTTGTGTAAAAGTTATGAAAATTAAGACAAAACTTGTTTGCAGTTTTGTAGCCCATTATTTAAGTATAATAAACTCTTACCTCTTATCTAACACCGCCTTTAAAAAGGTTGCCAAAAACCAAGGGTAAATCTTAGCTACTTCGAATTTGCAGTTTGCAAAATTATTTTCAAAAGATGCTGAATAAAAAGTTACAAATTTTGTTGGAATTTTGCAGAATTTTCATCACTTTTGCACAAGGTCTGAAATTTGGATTTGTATGGTGTTGGTTAAGAAATCAGCTATATGTACTTTCATAAACAATAAATAAACTAAAGAAAAATAGACAATACTCATAGTTCCGCCATGGCTAAAACTTGCTAAACTCTCGCGTCCCGGGTTATATTTGTTTCACTGTATGTGTGTACATCGAAAACTCTGATAAGCAATATTTACCTTTTAGTGATGGATCTTTGAATGGTATCGCATTTTGGGTGGAATGGAATATCGATGGCGGAACTAGTCCTAAGTCCGTTGTAAGCACTGGCCCTGTTGAATCAATCGTGCCAGGAAAATTTATTAAATGGGATATGTTTGTACGACAAGGTGTTCAATTATTTGAAGAAAGTCATACAGTGCTTAACGCGAAGAATAGTGTGCAATGGATATTGCAGTACAAACCAAAGCCGACCAAAATAGAAATTGATGTACATGTGAAATTTCCCTAATCGTATTAAAATTTTTGAATACGTTACAACCTGGATATAAGCAACCCAGAGGGACAAATTGGCGATATATGCGCCCGGCTATTAAATTTAGATCTTAAAAAAAGGATAGCGTAAGTTTAACTGTAAATTTAAATTCTCATTTTACGTTTTATATTTTTATTTAATTTGCAAAAGCATACATAGAGTAAAAATATGCATACAAACGTTTATAGTATATTGTTCGCAATACGAGAAAAGAAGCTATGCAAACGCAAAGAACACTTAATTTTTTGGTATTTCCTTTTCCATTTTCGTTAGTACTATGTTGCGATCAGTCTGAGCGCTCGGTGATTGCTGTTTTTGACTAAATTCACCACCTTTCAAACGTTGGCGCAAATCTAAAGCGCGAATATCAGTCATAAGGGAATGTTGTTTGTTCTCCAAATCAACATCGATTTTTTGTGCATGTTCCTCCAGTAGGTTATAATTTGCCTTAGTCTCGTCGATTCTGTCCATCAAACGACGTCGTATGTCTCGAAGCTTTTGTACTTCTAAACAAAGTTGGTCATGAGCCTCATCCAAGCACAATTCCATGCCAGAACGTTGTGCGCGATTCTCCAAACGTGTTTCAGCAAGTTTCAGTGCATCGGCTTTGTCTCGCAAAGCCTGCTCCAGTGTTTTTATTTCACAAACTGTCTTCTCCATTTCTTCTTTCATCTGAAAGTGTAAGAACGCGTAAATTTTTTTTTTTAAATTAAATGCATATTTTTCCTATTTTTAGCATCAAAATATACTTTCATTTGCTGCCATTCAAGCTCGTTTCGGGCACGTTGCGTCTCAAAGATACGCTTGCGTATGGCATGCTCCGCTCGGTCCTGCTGCGATAATAGCATATTGCGTGCCTTCTCACGACAGACAAATAAGGTTTCCCGTATAGCGTATGTATCGGCCAGTTCGTTTTCAGCAAGTTGCTTTATATTTTTGGTGTGCTCCAGCCATCCTTGATAGGTAGAACAACTGTAGAGTACGCAAAAAAATAACTGATAATCTTCGCTATCGACTGAAATTCTAAAACAGGGCGAAACATGCGTTCCTTGGAACCTCAAGGCATGGTAATTTTGTTTAATTTAACTTAAGTAGAACTTAACTACCTAACATAAGATTAAATTAAGCAAACTTGCGTTGTTTACTTTTTAGGATTACGCAATGGATCAGGTTTGTAGGTGATATTTGCAGCAAACTTGTTCAAGTCCAGCTGCGCTACGTCCACTACCTCAGCTTCAGCTTTATTTTCGACCTCTAAACCGAGTTTGAATTTAACTTCCTCCAAACGATTGAGTTTTTCCCAAGCCTTCTGACATTGATCGGCAAGAAGTCGTTGATTATTCTCGATTACCGCCAATTCATTTTTAATCTCCGTATCTGCATCGTCATAAGTCAATTCAGAGCCTAAGCGACAATCGCGCATTGTAAGGCATTCACCAACAACACTAATGGGTGTCTGCATAGCTTCTAGTTCTCGTTCTGTTGAAGCTTTCTCCTCCTCCAGCATTTTCACTTCCTTCACAATGCGATCCAGTGTTCTAGCGACAGTTTCGCGCCAGCGCGCTAACTCTGCAATACTAAAAAAACACTTACGAAAAAATTTAGCACTTAACCAAGTTCATACATATTTACCGTTCCGCTAATGCCTCATTAGTTTCATAATTGATCCAGTCGGCCTCGATGCGCGTTTCATTGCGCAAGTTACGTGAACATTGACGGATATCGAAAGCATCACCACGCCTTGCATCCGCAACGTTACGTAGTTGATTCACGCGTGCATTCCAATCGGATAATGCCAAATGCGGCACCGGCTTTTCCCATGTTATAACGGTATTATGGGCCATAGCAATTATGTATGGAAATTGATAGAATTTTTTAAATATTTATATGTATTTATTTATTCTTCTACGAAATTTGTTATCTATTTAAACTTCAATTTAGCTTCGTTCTCGATAAACTGAAAAATCGTTTTGAAATTGCTTTGGTTATATTCGAAATACATACATATATATGTATGTAAAATGGAACATAAAAGTGGAGAATTACTTCGGTATAGGAATGTCTGAAGTGGTCTGAAGTAAACTAATGAGTGTACAACGCTTGTTTGTTAAACAAACTTGATATTGGTATCCGGTGGATACCCATTATGCGCAGTGTATTGGTGGTTGTCGTGGCAGCCTTTAATATTAGCTGAGTTAACAGTCAAGTCTACGTAACCGGAACAACAGAGATTTATGTATAATGTGTAATTAGTTTACAAGGACGCGGTTCCGACTCACATCGGCCAACCACTGGACGCCAGACTGACGACCATTCCCCGATAGCCCGTTCTAAGTACCGGAATGACTCGGGCTGTTGTTTGCGCGACCTAAAGATCGCATTCAGATCGGCGAAACCCATCAATCATTTTACGTTCATGGAGCAATACCTTGCAACTGAATTGCTCCGCATCCTTCTTCTCCAGGCGGGCATTAAGACCAACCCCGGACCAGAAACATACTTCTGCTGCGTTTGCTTGATACGACTCCACCCGAACTCCACTTCGGTTAGGTGCAACTCTTGCAACGGATGGAGTCATTCAAGAACCTGTTCTGGCCTGAGGACTCACAGGGAGTGGACCACAAGCTTTGTGGCCTCCCTGTCTATAAGCCAAACGGCACCATCCGCCTCCACGGCTACCCATGTTACCGCGCCCCCTGCTGCAGAGCACCGCCGTCGCAGACAATATCGCACCCACTGCAGCCACCCACCATCAGGAAGCAACAGCAAATGCGATGGGCGCAACAGGCCTAAGGTAGACCCCACACATCCCTCACCCTCCGTATCGTGACCAGCCTCCCAAGGCATACGAAACTCTTACAACTGAACTGCAACGGACTCTACAGCCAGATTGAAGAGATAGCAGTCTTCAGTCAACCTCATATCTCTCATCATCCCTGATGTGTGGGAGAGTTGTCCCACTGCTAAAACCGGGGAAACCCGCCCACAAAGGAGACTTATCGCCCGATAAAGCTCCTTTCCCCGGTCGCAAAGACACTAGAGACCCTGCTACTACCGTACTTCACCCACCACCTGACCTCTGAGAAGCATCAGCATAGTAGCCTCGCATGGGTAACGCCCATGGGCTTTATTTCCTAAAGCCCGCGGGCTTTATTGCCTTTTGCCGGTGGGAATTATTTTCCTTTCGATATGGCAATAACGCCTGCGGACTTCATTTCCTAAAAAATGAAATGAGAGCCTGTTGGCGCTCAACCGCGGCGGTCCGCGCTTTATTTCTCTTTTTTGGGAATTAAAGCCCATGGGCGTTATTTCCGCGGGCCTTATTGCACTCCACCGGCTCGGACTTGTCAAAGGCATTTGACCCTGTCTGTCATTCCACGCTACTAGAAGACATAGAGGCTTCCTCTCTCCCACAGGGACACAAACGGTGCTCGGCGAATTATATGAGTGGTAGACAGTCGTCAGTAATCTTCCGAGATCAAACCTCGAAACCTTGAAGAATAAAACAAGGGGTTCCACAAGGTGGTGTCGCTTCCCCCTTACTGTTCAACTTCTACATATCGAGGCTTCCCCAGCCACCTGAGCAAGTTTCCCTGATCTCATTCGCTGACGACTGCTTGATATTTGCGTCTCGGAATGGAGTTGACCTCTGCTCAAAAGTAAACGGCTTTCTCTCCAGCCTTTCTCGCTTCTTGCAAGGAACTGAACAATCTCCCCAACGAGATCAACGGCGACCCTCTTCACCACCTGGACGAAGGAGGTCAGGCTTCAATTAGCTATTCACGTCGATAGCACATCATTACCGACAGTGAACAATTCAAAAATTGTATGGATCACCTATGATAGCCTGCTCTCCTTCTCAGAGCCGCAACAAGGTCTTCAAGTCGCTCGCCAGCAGCATCTGGGGAAAATACAAAGAAACGTTGCTAGCAACATAGTTGGGACGCAGTGGACGCAGCTACAGACTTTTCAGAACGTCGGACAGCGACAGGGTGCCTTCTGATGTCGTCTGAGCACCACCTACACAGCGAGGCTTAAGTGCTTCCCATAAGGGAGCACAACAAAGTGCTCTGTAAGCAGTTTATGGTGGGGTGTCACAGAAGTGAACACCCTAACAGACCCTTGCTAGAGGAGGAGCCTCCGCCCAGGCACGTAAGGGGGCACCTATTCATTTATAAGGACGCGGTCCAGACATATATAGACCAACCACTAGACCCGACGACGTACCGGCGAGCGATCAACAGCATTCCATGCAGTCGGTCACCACCTACTCGGCCTATGAATGCCGTGATCGGAGCCCAATCACCACCTGTTGCAGAAACGGAGCATCAACTGCCAAGAGACCCGCGTTACCCTGGCCCAGTTACGGTCTGGTTACTGTAGCCGCCTCAACAGCTACCTGTCCAGACTCCACGCCAATGTCCCCAATCAGTCTCCGGTATGTGGAGACTCCCCGCTCGATACCAACCACCTCTTCTCATGCCAGCTCAATCCCACTCAACTAACACACCTCTCCCTTTGGTCCGACCCTATTAAAACTGCCCGTTTCCTAGGCCTACCGTTAGATGAGCTTGACGACAATGATTGAGGGATGTACCGAAATAGGCGGGGCTTAGTAGTGCCCTACAACAACAATAACAACAACAACGTACCGACGAGCATTCCCACAACAGCTGGTTCTACGTACCGGAATGACACGGATTTTACCCAACCAAGGGCTGTTGTTTCGGGGATCTAACCCCGTTTAAGTCGGCGAAATCCATCAAACGTTGTTCCATTTAGGGGATAGTACTGCTGCGTATTCTTTTGCTCAGGGCGGGCATAGAGTCAAACCCAGGGCCAGAAATATACACCACAATAGGCCAACTTAGCCCTGGATATTGCAGCTGGCTATACTCGTACCTGAGCAGAATGAATGAAGATGTGCCCAACCAGTGCCCGGCATGCGGAGAGTCACCACATGATGAACGGGACCTCTTCGCATGCCTCCAAAATCCCACCCAGCTAATGCCCCTGTACCTATGGGCAGACCCTTTAGAAGTTGTGCACTTCCTGAGGCACCTCATTATTATATTCATATTAAGATTTTTGTATTGCAATCGACATTTCGTCGATTGTTCTTCATTGTTCGTCAATTTTTAACGTTTGTTCCTACGCCAAACATTTATAATTAATTTTTACATTTTACAGTTCCTGCATTTAGCACCCCAGTTGTAAGAATTTCATTATTTTCTATTGTTAACTGCGATAAATCGTTTGTTCGTCGTTTTTTCATCCCTAAAATCGAGCAAAAGCCGTTAATAAATTCATCATTTTCACTTTACGTTAAACATTACCTTAAACGTTTAAACAATAATTGGAATAGGGGCCGTTCAGCTAAAAGCGTGTGCGTGGACTGCCCCCTTTTCCTGATTTTAAGTGCATTTTTTTTTTTTGGTGCAAATTTGCAAGGGCGGTGTTAAGGGGGGTTAAACGTGGGATTTTCAACATTTTTAAAAACTTATATTTCGAAAACTATTGAACCAATTTTAAAACTATGGACACAGATGGAAAGGTGATTGAAGGACCTTTCATTCGATATATATTTATGTATATAATGTATACATATTTCTAGGAAAAGTACGTAATTATGACAATTTTTTTTTAATATATGTTTTTCGTAAAAGTACGTAATTAACTGCAATACCAAATATGATTATCTGAAAGAGCACAAAAATATATTTAATTTTATATTTGATTTGTAACTAAAAGAATTCTTCTGCACATTATATTTGTATAAATATATATTAAAACACCGTTTTATATGAAAAAAAGCGCCGCAGGCGAAAATTGGGAATAAAAAATCGCGAGATTTTGTAATGTTTAACTTAAAGTGAAACTTAAAAAAATAATTATAAATTTTTGGCTAACGAACAAACGTTAAAAATGCACGAACATTAAAGAACAATCGACGAACTATCGATTGCAATACAAAAATCTTAATATTTTCACAAATGGGGTGCCAACGTCGGTTGGGTGATTTTGAGTGGTCAACTTGTGGTTCTAGGAATGGCTCTACTTTTATCTGCCAATCTACTCATGACAGTAAAACTATGGTATGGCAACCCTAAATGATAAAGCAACGAAAAATTTTGCAGTTCATTTAAAGATTTTGTGCTATTTCATATTTGTTGTAAAAGTTTAAAATTTGCTAGTTTATGTACTGGCAACTTTGTTGTGTCATTGCTAATGCAGTGATGCCAACCCAAAGGAGAATTCCCGAACTTTAGTGGTATTTGAATTTCTCGGGGGAATCGGGGAACGACTTTAAATATTGGGGAATTCAATATACAAACGATTTTGATTAGAACATTCCTATTGAGGACAAAATTGCATTTATAAATTACAGACTGTGATAATAATATTATATTTTTTATCACGGGTTAACATGAAACATTACGTAATTGCCTCGTGCAACCGTGTGGGTATTAAAGAAATTGCAACTGTGCATAGCGACATTGTTCATGTTTTCGTTTGACACCCTCTTTTCTCGTTTGGTTTTCGCCACCAAGCCGTCGTATTAGAATTTTATATTATAAACACGAAATGATAAAAGAACTATCCCTATTACATACCTATGTCACAAATAATAATATTTGTTGTTTTTTTTTAATAAAAAATTAACGATAAGTGCTTTAAATATGCAGCTAAATACATTTTAGGCGAACGTCATGTATAGATGAATTTTTTCAAGAATTTTGGGGAACTAGCCTCAGGGGAGCTGGCATCCCTGGTACTAATCAAGCGAACTACGTAAGTGTGAAAGAAATAACCCATTGGTGTAAAACTACACACCCGGAATTATTGCCATTATCAAAGCGAATGAGCAAGCGAGAAAAGCAGAATCGATGAGTGGTGCCACTTAGCGCGACATTGCTGCAAATATTCGATGACGACGAGAAGAAAAAAATTAACGACGAGAAAAAGGCAAAGAGCGAAGAAGGTGGAACAAAAATAGCAAAAGTCCACAATGGCGAGCACCGGTGTTGGTAAGAAAAATTTCGTGAAAAATTTAAAAAATCGCGTATTATTGTGCATTAAAAGTATTTAAAAGTGGCTTGTGCAAATGTTGAATCCGTCGTATTGTGCGGGAAAGAGGCTTTATTGGAGTCTTTGTAAAACATGTGACGTGCCATAGAGAACCGAGGAAGCTTTGCAAGTTTTTTTTTTCTTGGTTCGATTTTTGATTTTTCACGTTTCCACTCGCTGACAGCAATAAGAAGCATGAAATGTGAAGCACTTAAAAGCAGTAAAATGCACTGTTGATGACGGAAAATAAAATCGTCTTGGCCCGATATTCAGTGCAAGTATTCACATATTTAGTGGATATATATTTGCGCTGACCATTCCAGCCGGTCCACTCGTCATAGTCAGGAGCGTGTAGAGACAAAAAAATTAGCATGGATGGGGGGTTAAAAAAAATCAAGAAACCAATAATTATTATGCATACCTAGGCCGATTGATGTCAATCGGCATGATCATTATACAATTTTAAATAAATCCTAATCCAAACTTGTATATGCACTTTAATCAGCTCATTAAACTCAATGACTTGACTTTTTCATTACCCTTTTGCGGTTTTAATTCTCCTCTTAGTTCCTCCAGCCTTTAGTTCCGGTTGATGGGCCAATTTTTCCTATGTTGCTTGTATTATTGCACCACTTTCCTCATGCCACATACCAAGGGTCGTATTTAATTAGATTAGAAATTGAAATGTTTCCATTAAAAAAAAAAAAAAAACATATGCAGACGGTATTTCGGTCAATTCGTTGGTTCTCCTGCCATCTGCTGTATGGGTAGGTAGTCATAACTCGAAACGCCCAAGCACTTTTATAAATTGTAAATATATTATCTGCTAGTACTGTATTAGTTATGCCGCCAACGTAAATAAAATGCGTAGATAAGAGACCCGCAAGCTGTGCTGTAAAAAGTATTTTGGAGTGGTATTGATTCTGAATATCCCAAAGTTATGATAACTATGTTTTTTTTTCGTCCTATGCATATTGCATTAATATTTTTTGATTTTGTGTATGTACATATACACCCAGCACCCCGCTCCTTCAGCCTGTTACACCCATTGCTTTTACAATCAATGTTTTCCTACTGCTAATTTTAATGACTCATTGACAATCGCGTGAACATCACACCTTGTGAATAAATAAATTTTGTAGTTGGTAGAAATGTGGCGTATTAGCAAACTTTTCTCCTGACGAATTTAACATTAAAACTAACAAATCTCGCAAATTAGCAATATTATCTAGATCATGTAAAGAATAAGGATAATAATTGTTGTTTTAGTCGATTTAAGATCAAAAAATGATTCCACTTTATCATTTTAAACCCACAATAAGACTTATGCATTCGACTTAGTGCTTTCGATCTCTTAACAGTCGAATCCACCTTACCAAGCTGGGGTGGGGAAACCAAGTGAAAAGCACACAGACCGCAAATATCAAAAAATGGTAAACAACTTTGCGTGAATGGCTAACCTTGGTTTATTTCTGCCTTGAGAAAGCTTTTATGCTTACATTCCTCGACTATGGCGGACTGCCATATCAGCAGGTGTACTACCAATCGGCAGATTTACTGGGGAATGTAGTCCTTGTACGTGAATGACGCCCCTGTCCCTATAGACAGACCCTGTGGAAGTCGCACACTTCCTGGGGCTCCCCCTAGCTGAAATGGACGACAACGTTGACTGATGAACCGACCAGAGCGGGGCTTAGTAGCCGCTACAACAGCAGCAACAACCACGCCCTTACAAATCTAAAAGTAACGTAGTGCTATAACAACAACAATCTTAGTTGTAACATTTTCAAATAGAGAATCCCTGCAATATCAGCAGTTTTTTTCTAATAGTAGTAGGCGCCCAGGCAGAGACGACCCTCCAGGTGCTACTATGCCATACAGCGTTCATTTAGCCCATTTTAGGCTCTACTAAGCACTTAGCAAAATGTCGGGGAAATATAACTGCTTGGAAATCGTATTGACTCATCGCAAATAATCTTAAAACAGGTATAATTGTAATTTTCCCGTTAGAGACAATATATCAAAAAAAAAAATGTTTGCATTACATGGAGATTAATCCTGCCAAATGATTTATGCAAAGAAAATCAACTTAATTTATTTGATTTGTGTCTCTTTTGAAGAGAGTTCCGATATAGTGTGAAATCCTACTTCGTGCCAACGCACTACGAAGCACTTTCTTATTTGAGGAGTAGACATTCGACTAAGTTACATCATTTGGCCAAACCCGCAAACTTCTAAAATTATATTTGTTATAATTTAGGCCCGGCTATTCTATTCTCAAAGTTTGTCTTTTTTGTTTTGTTTTTTTTTTTGCAAAAGTTATGCTTAAATAATGCTAGGTATGGTATAGACGAGGGAAAAACAAATGTGGGTGCTCATCGACTTTTAAAAAAGGTACACTGCAAAGATAACGAAACGTTGGGGTTTTATGCATATCAATAGTGGTTGTTTCCGAGAGATTGTTGTACTGATTTTATAATTTTCCCTATTTTTCAGTGGTTCCGCGAAACTTTCGCTTGCTAGAAGAGTTGGATCAAGGCCAAAAAGGTGTAGGCGATGGTACAATTTCCTGGGGTCTCGAAAACGACGATGACATGACACTAACACACTGGATTGGCATGATAATAGGCCCTCCCAGAGTAAGTATCTGATATTTGTCAGCACCATGATAAAAACTCTCATGTTATCCCAACAGACTCCTTATGAAAATAGAATGTATTCGCTGAAAATTGAATGCGGCGATAGATATCCAGATGAACCGCCTGCAATACGGTTTTTAACAAGAATTAATATAAACTGCATTAATCAGAGCAATGGTGTGGTAAGTGTGTCGATTATTTACAAATTGATAAACAAAATTTTGCATCTAACTTAATGAAAGCAATACTATATATATATATATTAGGTTGATCATAGATTAGTGCCCATGTTATCCAGATGGAATCGGGAATACACTATAAAGTCAATGCTCCAAGAAATTCGAAGAATCATGACTTGCAAAGAAAATCTTAAATTGGCGCAACCACCAGAAGGCAGTGTTTTTTAGTTGATCACCTCAATTGTCTTTAATGACAATTCAGCAACAGTTGCCGCTACTGCCGTCGCCACTGCTGCTGCTATTGCCCTGCAGTTGCTGTCATCAATGTTGCCGAAAAACGAAGTCATAAATCTTCAACGTAAACGTCGTCGCCGTTGTATAAGTCGCCACCACTTGAACGTCTTCTCGTATGAGAACGTGTTATTATTATTATCATTCTCTTAAATTTAATTAATCAAGTTGAACCGTAAAAAGGAAACATCAAAGAAATAAAGTAACGAAAATAGTAATAATAATAATAAGTGGATGAAGTTGAAACAAATAATAAGTAACAAGAAGAAGGGAATCTAAGATAAAAATAACCACACATAAGCAAGTGAAACTTCAGGTGTACTCTTGAATAGCTTAGAAGGCTAAAGAAAGAACTACAGTAGTGACGGAACAGTAACTTACGAATTCATTAACACCATTTACACTAGAAACATACACACACGCCTAAAATAAACACACGGCCGAAAGAAAACTTGCATAACATAATTAAGATTATAAGCGCATTAAATATTTATTAATTAATGAAATATTAACTTGAACAATAGATGCAGAGGAAAAGCGTAATATATTCTATGTGCTGCTAAGTAATTATGCAAAGTTAAAGTAAAGAAATAAAGTAGCAACAGATGTTAACATTCAGCCGCTTGTAAGCGTGCATTTATATGAAGCTTCTAACATTGAAATCGAAAGATTTAAGCACCAAACAGCGAAAACAAAATACATCTATGGAGCGACACGAACAGCAGGCAATTTCTCGATGAGGCGGCTAAGCTGCTGCATTTAAAATTGTTTATATTTTTAGTTTTTTTTTTTCAATTCAACTTGCGAGTTTTTTCTATTAAAAAGACCATTTTGTTGCTCATTAGAAATATTGATGTTCCAAAATTTATAATTTTTCTCAAGTTGGATCAATTGTGTTTTTCGTTGTTGTTTTCTTTCAAATCCTTTAACATTTGGTTTGTGGCAACAAACATAAAACTGGTTAGAAGTTATAGCTTTTTAAAGAAGCGTGAAGTGAATGCATAAGAATGTACATTCGCATTTGGCTTCTGGTTAAAATAAGTAAAATTCCATTTTCTTTTTGATTCTTTCCTTAATTACTATAAATAAAATAAATTTAAAACGTAAATAAATGCATTAAAAACCAAAAATCTAAAAATAATTCAAAAATTTATGCGTTGTTTCATACGATAATTTGGCTGATGGCTTATTCTTCTACGATTCAATGTTTTTTTCAATTTCACCTCGGAAGTAATATCGGCTTATCAACAATTAAAATAAAGTTAATAGTTGCTCCCTTTGTTAAAAAATAAAACTTTTTCAAAACCGGTTAAAGGGAAGGCACCAGTACTAGGGCTGGCATTTCGAGATATTTTAAACAGTATTTGAAAGGAATCTATCGAGTTGCAAAATAAATATAGTTCATATAATAGAATACTTCAGTAATATACAAACAATTGTTAATTTTTATACTCGGAATATCCGGATATATATACACTATTAGATTATCCGGATAGAGCTCCCAGCCCTATGCAGTACCATCAGCAACCTGGTTGCTAAATTCATCTTTTTTCTACCATACAGGTTACGATAATGTTTGCGCATAGCTATCGAAATTAGAGCAGCGTATGGCTCTATACGGTACATGAAGTCCACCCTACCAGTACCTCTTAGAATGATGTTGCAATAAGGCAATACAAATAAAAACGATTGAACACCCAATTGCTTAGGTATCCCTTTAATGACTTTAGCCCTAATGATTTTCTTTTGAGAAATCGTTGAGAGAAGTCTTTTTGACCTTGAAAACAAGTAAATATCTTCAGGGAGCAGCTGATGGCAGCTTACGAGAAACGGTTCTTGACATTTATGAAAACTGGACGCCAATAATCGCTTGTTGTCGCAAGTGGAACATTATTGTGGAACTTTACCCTCCGAGGGCAAAATGAAATCCTCGCAGTGGTCTGAAGAATCGAAATGCCTCTATGAACTTTATAGGTAATCCTGTGGAGTCGTTATTTTTACGTGGCTAACGCCTGCCGCTTCAAGGGCAGTTTTTATGACCCTGAGTATTCTTGGAATATTATTTTTGCTAAAAATTACTGGTTCTTGGAGGATGTATTAAGGATATGGTTAGAACGAGTAAACTAATGCTAGGATTCTGCTATCTCATCAGGATAAACTGAAAACTTGAAAATAAATATCTGCTATTCAAACGAGATAGTCGTGATCTCGAACTGTTGAAAAGTATGTAATTTTAATACTTACAAATCGTTACCTTGATATAGGGAGGCCCTAATTCATATTCACTTGAAATTCAGCTCGGCATAAAAGTCGGGAGATTACACATCATCGAATTTAAAATCCACTACTACATAAAAAATTAAAAAAAAAAAATCGCAACTGAAAAACTTTAGTTTTTCTAAAGTTGTATAACTACTCTGTAAAGAAACAAAAATTTTAGATAGGGCCGTTCTATATTGAGGTAACGTAATGCAAACTACACTAAGATGAAATGCCTTAGGGCCAGCATTCCAGTGCCAGTTTAAACTTACGATTAAATGAACTGTGTGCCCGGCCGCTACCACAACAACAAATGTTTAAACTAAGTTTAAATCACAACCTGCACTGGAAAACTGGCTATTAGACATGCACTTAAATTATTTTTTTAAGGAAATCAATAAAAAAATTCCCTAAATGAAAGCGAGCGATTAAATAAACAAAAACAATCGAGTTCTTTAGTATCTTTAGCATTTTATTTGTAGGTCTATTTGTTTCTTTTAATCATTACGTTAAATGTAATCTTTAGTTTAAATTGTAACAATTTTCTAAGTTGTTTTGGGAGTTCTGCCAATAATACCCTCCCCGCAGTGAAGTTTTGCGCTTTCTTCGGCTGATGGCGGTGCTTTAGTCGGTATGCATAATTCGTTTACATAAATTTTCTTGATGTTTTAATGCTTCAATTTGTTTTCATAGCAAGCCCTTTTCAGCATACTTATTTATCCTTTGGCGTAAAAACAATCTTCCTAGATTTCAAAGTCGACCACTTGTGTCTCTTAATATAGTATGTAATTATAGCCAAGAAGGCAAGGATACCAAATGCCTTAATTGTAAGTTGCTTGCGGTCATCATGTTCTGGCTCAGATGTCCATTTAAGGAACGTAGCTACATCCTTGGCCAATTGACTCGTTGTTGGTGGTGTACCATCAGAGTATTCAATTACCTTTAAGCAGATAGAGACATTTAAATAGGATTCCATATCGATATATGTAAAAATATTACCTCATTGTATAGCACTTGAGCCATGGAAATAGCACCGCCTGGGAAGTACGGGTTAAAGTACTGCCCTTCGCGCAACACCACACCAGCTGGAGCATCGCAGTAGCCGGTAAGCAGCGAAAATACGTAATCTTCACCTCCTTTACGTGCTGATACAATGTAACTTAAATCTGGTGGGTAAGCACCGTTGTTTGCAGCGCGAGCAGCCTCTTCGTTCGGATATGGCGAAGGGAAATAGTCCGAGAGTTTGCCCGGACGGTCGAAGTAGTTTCCGGTATCGTCAGGACCATCTCTTACCTTATGTATAAGAGAAATGTTATAGCATATATACATACATATGTTTACAATTAATTATTAAGTGTCAGGCTATACCGTTATTTGTTCTGCTTCTGCCTTAGCTTCGGCTTCGGTGTGGGAAACCCCAACCAAATTACGGTAGGCAATATAATGCATAGAGTGACAAGCGGAGCAAACTTGCTTGTACACTTCGTAGCCACGGCGGATACTGTAATGCAATAAAATTTAATAATTTGGTTTTTAGAATTACTTATTAGTATTTTAGAATTTTGTTTTCTCACCCTTGATGATCCAGTGAGGAAATGATGCCCTTATGACTCCATGGCATAGCTGGTGGATGGACTTCTGTACCAGAAGCTTCAACCGAGTTCTCCAGAGCAAAAAGCAGAGCTCCCAAGCCCCCGGTGACGGCACCAACCGCCGCTATGAGCTGTGTGTGAATTAAAATGCCACACAAAAATTTTGCATGAGTTTCCGTAATTTACAAATATCTATTAAATATTGTTTATTTGAGTGTTATTTCTTCACAATCACTCCACCACCACCCACTTCACCCTAGATTACATTGAGGTTATGTTTAATTTTTCATTATGAAATATAGCAAGAATAAACACTTGATAATTTTCGCCAACCAAACAACACACACCTTAGCCATTTAAGTATTTTTTAAGGGTATCTTGCTGATGTATAAACATAACTCAGTTATACAAACCTTCTTTTGTCCATTTGTCCAGGCTTTAGTGGTAGACAGCTGTTTGGCCTGAAAAGAAGAACACATTTTGAACAAATTATTACCATAGTTAAAAATTCGCAAATAAATTATTGCTATAGGTTTAATAAATATAGAATTTCAGAGGAACATATGAGGTAATTGCTCTTATGTAGCACTCTACTATCACCACTACTTTGCCTCGTTATGTAAGCAGCGTAAGAAAACTCTCTAGCTTTTAAAACTGAAATAAAAAGATATATAACGAGCACAACATGCATAAATTTACGCTATAGTGCAAAGATTGCACTTTATTTAGTACATTTCGAAGAGGATTAAGTAATTTCACTTAAAACTTTTAATATTTTAACACTCAAAAATTGCGGGTCCGGGGTAAATCTATGGGAATTGCTGTATTGTAAAATTTGGAGTTTTCAAATAAAAGGCTGGTAAATATAATTAAGTACCTGTTGGAGATTAACTCCAGTCGAAGTTCCTAATAATTTGGAGCCAAAGATTCTTCCTAGATTGGCCGCCATCGTGGCTAGTGGAGGTACAACACGACTTTTTGAAGGATGAAAGAAAATTCGAAACAGTCCAATTGACAAACACCCATACATGCACCATTCATTATCGCACACATGTAAAGGTCATATACATACACGGATTTTATTCTTCTCGTTCCTTTCGATGACATTTCTTCATTTCTTTTTCACTCCATTTCCAATTTGACGGCTATTAGGGTAGTAGAAAAATAATTCATTATTTTATTTGCATTGCCTTTGCAATTCCAAGCGTCCTGCGCATAAAGGCTTCGCCAGATAAGTTCTTTTCCGAAGCGCAGACTGAGATCGAACTTGGCATAAATGCAGTGTGGTTCCAAAACTCAAATAAAAAAATAGGGTTCGATAGAGATGATCATTTAATAGGAAATTAGATTCCCTTTAATTTGGTATACGTACTTTATATATATGTTGTATAGTTCTTACAAAAATCGAATTAATGTAAAATAATTATAGAAAAAAGTTTACAAACCCTAAGTGTGGCGAATTTTATTCTTGGTGTGACAGTTCGAATTTCTCGTTCCTTTTGAAGACATTTCTTCATTGTAAAATATATTATATAATATTGAAAACAATTGAAAAATAATTAGGGGATTCCCTTAAACTCGCAAAGTCTTAAACCTTGTAAAACTAGTAAGCTTACGAGGCTTTTATGGGAACGCCCCCTTTGTGAAAAGGTGTAAATAAGGGCGTAAAGTGGCTGTTTGACTGATCAATCAGGATTTTGTGAAGCAATTTTTGTTTCGTAGTATTTTCCATAACATCCCGCCATCTTGTCTCTATCACTCTTAGCTAAAATACAATTAAAAATGCAGAAAACCTAAGTCAATACAGTAAGTGGATGAAATTCATTCGTTTTATTCGCGTATTGTTTTCTTCATTTATTTTCATTATTTTGTCATACATTTTAGTATAAAAACTTCGGCCCCTCGGCAATACTGAAGTTTACGAGGTCGTTTGCGCATCAACTTTGCCTCATAAATTTACGAGGGGATCGTAAATAAAGCTCCATACAAATTTTGATAGTTCTTATACGAGGCTCGTAAATTTACGAGCTTTACGAGGTTTACGAGACTTTTATAAGTTTAAGGGAAGACCCCTATTCTATCGGTCTTGCTACCGCCTGAAGCTCGGAACACTTTGACGACAACAAGCGATAAGCAGCATCTCTCAAATTTTAAATACACACGTTCTTACGGACACAATTATTTTGACGACAGCACGACATCTTGGCTGCAGGACTGCAATTGTCGACGTCGCCAAATTAAATCTATTTCTAATTTTGCCGGCGACAATGAGTAGATGTAGTGCTGCAACATTAAATTGTCGCAAAATTAATCACAATTTCTTGATTGTTCATGTTTTTCTTATTTACTTAAATAAAAATACACAATTTGTGAAATAAATATACCAAAATGTCAAACTTTAAAATCAGCTGTTTGCTATGTCGCTGAGGTCTTCAAAATGTTTAAGAAGCTGGCTTCAAGGCGACATTTGTCGACAAAATGATGTCGCTGTCGTTACGTCGTGAAGTTGCAGTCGTCAAAGTGTTCCGAGCTTGACCGTGACGAAGACGTTGCTTCTCTCTCTTTGAATCCACAGCAAACTTGATATGAGTTTACGTATTTCTACGGTATGCTACGTACACGTTCGTGGGTAACCGCACTCTAAACACTACTGAAATGATTGTCAAAATCATGCTGTCAAATAGAAAAAAGAAAACACGCAAATGAGATGAGATCTTTGTGCGCTTGAATATTTTGTTTCTTTTAAGCAGATTTTCAATTAATAATTTGCTAATACGTGAAAAACTGTTCACGGAAAAAGGTAATATCTTCATACTTAAAATCAAATGATAAAAACGCACAGCGCGTAAGCTACACATGAGTGTGAGCGGCTATCGAAAGATGGGAGCTGCAAAGTTTAGTGTTCTAACTTCATAGCTATGCATTTGTGAAATTTGTTTGTTTATACATTCATATACATAATTATTATATTAGGCGTTTGCATTTGCATATGTAAGTACTTGTGTTAATGCACTAGAAATATATATGTATCTTTGTTCGTGAGTGTATTACGCATATAATTTTTACAAAAAGAATTCGGATTCATTTAATGTTATCGTTGGGGCTCCATGTAGTAATGTTCGATATTTATCGATTTAATTCATTGCATGTAAAATCGATATTGGGATATATCGGGCTGAACAATATCGATATCGGAAAAATCGATGTCGAAAATCCTACTCGCAATTGAATAGAATAGCCGTGTTTTATTTGTACAGAAATTTAAGCTATTAGCTTATTTTGTATGGAGGACTTACCCAACATAATTATATTGGCTTATGAAAAGCTATCTTGGCTTGTATATTGAACAAGAGGCATTGCCATTCAGCATCAGAAATTTTCTCCTTCAGCCAATCAGAAAGAGGCAAAAACTTACTTTGACACTATTTGCAGTCAAACAACTGTCAAAATTGGGCTAACATAGGAAATAAGCTGATTTCGTTTTATTTGACCAAAATTTAGCTATTTGCTTGTGATTTTAATATTAGACCTGCCTATCAAATCGCCTAATTGTGTTATTTCCATCTTGATATTTACCGAGGATTAAAACGGCATGCCGGTCGACTTAAGCGGTTTGTCAAACTTAAGAGCTAAATAAATCACACAAGCTGCCGATTGAACTTAGTATTTTCCCATGCACTTTTTTGAAGATGAAAAATAAATTTCAACTTAAATATCGATATTGCGGGTGAAGTATCGTTGTCTTCGACATATCGACCTTGGAATATCGATCTAAAAAATGGATTGCCTTGCCATGCAATATCGATATTCAGAATAATCGAAACGATATCGAACATCCTTAGCTCCATGGGCAGAGATGTTATTTACATCAGCTGACTAGGGATGTCAGCATTATTCAATAATTATTGGCAGCTGCGGTTTGACACTCCTTACAAAAGGTTGCATTTACGAAGGACAAAGAACTACGCAAATTAGGCAATCAGTAGTGAAATTTCTTTCGTAAATTCGAATATATTTGCAGGAAATTTAGCGGACACTTTTTGCGTATTTGTACAACGATTTTGAGGTGTAATTGTTAAGTATAATTTTTGTTTCTTTTTCTGAGTGGACAACAGAAAACAAAAATTAAGAGAAATTTCATCACATTTAATGATTGGGCCCATATATTTTTGCGAATTGTAGGCGTTATAGTGATTCAATCTTCTTCCCCATATTTTATATTTCTTCCCCATATATTATATTTAGGTTTTTCTAATGAAAGAAATCGGATGAAATTTAACGTTTACGCCCACAAAAGTGGAGGGCGTGGCAATTATCCCATCTTTACCATATTTCATAATTCTCTATCCCAAAGAAAAATTATAGCACATGTAAAGTTTCAGCGAAATCGGTGCACGCCAACCATTTTTTCCACCTGGCTCCATATAGTCGAAACACTGCATCGTAACGGAAACAGGCCACTAAGCAGAATACTTACGCATTACTATTACCATTGAAAGAATGCGCAAAGCAACCTCGCTAGTCTCTTTATTAAATTCTCTAAAGTTTCTTCCAAAAATTAGCTCTGATCCAATATTTTCGTGTGAAATCCTGTAAAAAGGTCAAACAGTAAAATTACTCTCTGAAGTGAGAGTAAAATGTGAGCAACAACCAAAAAGTACGGGAACAAACAAGCATTTTTCCTGTAAAAACTTCAAACAGCTTATCGCTTGACCCCTTTCATGATTTTACCAGAAAAAAAAGTTCTTGCAAGTTCATTCTTTACACAACTCTCCAAAAATTGCTCTCATTTACAGGATTTTGGAGTACGGGAAAATGTTTCCTGTTACTTCCTGCAAGTTTGTGTAAAAACCTGTATGTTCATGGAGTACTGGAACAGAGCTATAATAGTAACATTTGCAAAACAAACTTAGCGGCTCTCTGAAATATCTATGCGAATGCTTCGAATTTTTTCAGAGTGTATTCATACTTTTAATCAAGATCCGTCAGGTGCCTCGTCGTTAGAAATTCGCTAAATAAGCTTTACTCCATTCCAGTATAGTACCAAGAATAGAAGAAATAAGCAAAAATACAAACTAGGTGTCGGGGTTGTGCCAAATTCGGTGCCATCTCCTCTCTCCATTAAAGTAAACGTATTTCATGCTATATAATATCAGGGTTGCTTATGCAGTTAAGAAAAAAAAACTAATTAACCGAATATAGCGTTCTTTTGGAAGCCGAAAGAATAGGTATGTACATTAGGGTGTGTCAGCAAGAAAGTTGCGGTTTTTCCACCGGAAGTATGAAATGTATTATATATTTTAAAACTGCCGCTAAAATATTTGGGAAAAATATTAATATTTACGTGAGCTGGACCGAAACCAATTCTTTTGATTTTTTTGATCAAAAATCTAATTATTTTGATTCCGTCGATAAGTCTTTTAAAGATTTTTATGCAGACCATACCATGATAATAACATTACCAGGTAAAATCATTGATTGAAATCATACGTGTGTATGTATGTACATATTCTCATTTTCAATCTCAAACAACAATTGTGAACAATATAATTTTTTATGTTCAATTTTATATTATTCTGAAATGCTCGCAAACGTCAGAAAAAAAAATCATGGCCGACGACTTTAGTGAATGATTTTACCTTGTGATTTTTTAGAAAAAAAACATATTTTTAAAAGTTACTTTTGTTTATAAAAATCTCGTTTTTTGGATGTATTTTCAAATGGGTCCAGCTCACGTAAATCTTAATATTGCTACGAAATCTTTTGGCGGAACTATTAAAATGCTGTAATGCTAAATTTAATATATAGGGAGTAATGTATGTACATACATATGTACATTAAATTAAAATTTAAAATTCGATCAAACTGCAAAATAAACTTTCTCCCAACTATGTATTATTTCAAGTTCTCAACCAATCGATATGGAAATAAATAGGATGGATAATTCACGCAAACCAATGCTGGAGGGTCTGAAGGAGCTTTATCAGCTGCTAGATAAAAAGTCACTATCTCAGGCACACTTTCTCTTCCTGGCCGTTTATGTTGTCGCTCTACACACCGGATTTATACCACAGAATTTTTTTGTGAACCAATTAAAAAGTTTGTTTCCTTTGGAATCTTGGTCAACATTTCACAAGAAAAATGTGGAGATTTGTTGCAGTCAGCCGCCTACATATGAATACGATTCCCCGCATGAGACTTACTTCAATGAAAGATTCATCACAAATGTTAAAGCTGAACAAGATGATGCTTTGAAGTCTGTGCTTACGGCCATAGTGTCGGGCGATTTTATGATGATTACGCTAACACCACATCATTCCACAAAATTACTAGGCCGCAGCAGCTGTCTATCTATTGGCCGTTACGTAATATCGCATTCGGAGGGTCCCCGAACAGTGGAAGCATGTTATCAGAAGCTAGACCAATTGAAATTGCAATTGCGTAATGAAGTATTCATGCCAGTGCGCGGTGATCAGCTGTCATGTATAGGCGCTTTTCCACATCCAAGCTTAACTGGAATTCCACGTGAGCTTCGATTTCGGATATACGAGTATTTACTTGCAGCGAGACGTGTAAAACTTTTAAAAATAAATAAAACCTTACGCGCGGAAATTAATGGTTGGTTGGGAAATGAATAGATAGGTATGCCGCAGGGTTTATTTAACATTAAATAAAAAAATAACTTTTTTTTAAGAAAAGAATCAACATAAAAGAAATAAAGTCAGAAATAACTACAGCAAAGTAAAAGACTTTCAATTCAGTATGCTGGAATTAAATTCCCAGTTATTTACCATGCTATTTAATGGTAAATAAAACGAAAGATAAATATGTAGTTTTCAACAATGCCAGTACCTAATTAAATACATTTTACATACCGTTACCTTAATTCACAAAGGCCCTAATCAACACTTTTTTTCGAAACTGCGTTTTTCACAGATTTTGGTAGGATGTATTAAAATACACCTTCCAAAAAGTAAAGGTAATGATGCGCTATCGGAAATTTGACAAATTTTTCCAAAAAAAAATTATGTACGTTAAAGGAGTAGATACCATATTTTTGCAAAAACAATATCTTAACTCTTCACTTTTAAATTTGTGGTTTATCAAAAAGTTTGAGTGCAGTGTTGTTTTTGATATTCGTATACAAAAAAATAAAAGAAAATCAAATTATAAAAACTAATCTTGCAGTGGCTACTTTTGAAAATTGTTTGCGAAATTGTTAACTTGAAAGGTCTGAATTTCCGTACTGCAACCTTTGCAGTAATATAATTGTAAACAGCATTTTCTTTCCCCTTTTTAATGAGTTCTCTTCTCCAAGCGGTAAAAAGTTCCCTACATACAGTATTATTCTTTCGATCACAGAGGAGGCTGGGGGCTCGGGTTCGTGTTCTCCACTATTTTCAGTGTTGCCTCCATAATTTAAGTATGTTCTGGACATCGGTCACTAGACCGTCTTCATTGTTCCAACAGAAGAGTTCGCCTTGATCTTGAAACCTTCTGTAAGTCGCCTAACTCTCTGATAAAATTTGTGAGCGTTTTTCCTTTCGGCCAGCATTTCGAGCGCTTTGCATTCATGTATTTTGGCCTCGCTCTTCTTAATGTGGCAAATATATCTTGCTTCCCTCTTCAGTTGCCTATAACGGTCCCACATGGCTCGCGTTGCGCCCGATCGTAGCGGGTCCTGTAGGCGGCATCTTGTTTCTCTGCATTCCTCATCGGACCAGTTGTTCCTTCGGGATCGCTGCAATGAGCGGAAAGGTGCTCGCTGAGAACAGGTGCGAGAGTTGAGTGACGAAGCTACCTGAACCGGACGCTAAATAATCGTTTTTGGCACTCCAAGGTGAGTGCTGATCTAAAACGTTCCCCACATGCGTGGACTTCTCTAACCGGAACCATCCTTTAAGCTATGCCTAAATTTCAATTGCACATGGCATACGAGCATCTTTCTACAATTCTCAGACCTTCCGTCTACTAGGTTATGTGGTAATTATTATTCTTTGGTATACCTTATTGGTGTAATCTGTACAAAAATATGACCGAATAACCACTTACTGCGATTATCAGGAAGACGTGACTAGCATTTAATTGCTCTTAACTAAAGTGAGTTACTTTCTACAATATTTTATTTATTTTTTTTTTTGTTTAAAAGGCTTGTACATATTTGCTTACCGAAAATAACTACATAGCTTTTCAAAAAAACTTTACATTTGGTTTTGAGTTAAAAATTTCCATTTCTGACCTAATTCTCTCCGCACCTAAAGGAAGTTTTCCCATATGTACGTATGCATGAGTTTTCACTCAACCTTGATATAAAAAATTTCTAGGCAACAAAACAAAAAATCGTGCTTATCACTTGCATTTCACTCGATTATGAGAAAGCTTGTGGTAATTTGAATCATATATCATAATTTCCGGTCAAAATAATACCAACACGAGTACATGCACGAAGAGTCAAGTGAGCTTTGCTACGAAAGCACCAGTGTACGAGGAGAGAGGCAACCGGTATTGGCTTGATATTGGTGTGTCAGACAGTTCATTCACCCAAACAGTCAGTAGTCCAACATGCTTTGTTTTGTTTTGTCCCAAGAGCGCATCATTGTTCCCCATACATTGAATGTCAGTCCAAAAATTAGGTCCTTTGCTATTCTTCACATATTCTGTGCATCATTTGCAACCATATTCGTACATATGAATGTAGGTGAGCATGTGAACTTTAGTGAAATTGTGTTTGTATGTAGGTATGTGTATTGAAGTGCATTTAGGGGGAATTACAAATAACAATATTACAACAAAGCCTAAAAAGAAAAAATTGCTGTCTCATCCCATTGCTCAGGTGTGCATTTAAAGCGAAGTTTTGTCATCTAAAATATTTTGATGTGAGATGAAGTGTTTCATTTATAGCGTCGGCTAAAAATTTTTTAGATACGGACAACGGGGATTCTTTATAACCACGGCTACTGCAGATGACATATTCAGAGGCAGCAAAAGGTAGATATTTGCGCATCACTAAGTCACTTCACTCCAAGCTTTGCTGGAATCGAGAACAAAAAAATACAAAAGAGATGCAAATAACTAAAAGTGACCTCAAGGACATTCAAAAGTAACAACCGGCGAGGAAGATAGCCACTGATTTGTGAACTTCTGTAGACATAACAAATAATCCAAGGACAGGGCCGTCGAGAGAAAACTCGGGCCCGGACTGAAAAATCTCGGGGCCCATATACAAAATTGTACTAACTTAAATTTATAATATACAAGCCTATAATTAGGGAGCAGTTTCTCGCGGAAATATGGAGAAATATTTCTTGCTGTAATGAAAAACATGGTTATTGAAAGCAGGCGCATTGTTTTCTTTCAAAATTAAATTGTTAAAAACCAATGACAAGTTATGGTTCTAATATTTTGATATTTTAGGCCCCTTAAAAAGACCGGGCCCAGGGGGATTCCCCTCTTCGATACACATAGAGACTTTTTCGACCATTGCGCGCGACTGACTAATTGGCTTTTGGTAAGATGAAACCCCTATTTAAAAATCAGCATGTTTGATAAAGTTAGGTACGAAATATCAGACGGATCTTACAACAATGTAAATGCATACGTTCCTTAATGTGATATATGTGGGTGCTCCTAATCGGAACTGGACAACTGGTAATACTTATGCCTGGAAAACACTCTTCAAGGCGAATTCAGTTTAGCTCGAAAGATAGGGCCTTTCTATATTAAGGTAAATATATGCACATATTCTTTTAACGATGGGGGAGATTCTGAAAGCTTTCAATAATATTTACACGTCTCTGAGGTAAGCTAATCTGCTGGTTATTTTGTCAGACGGAAGGTTTAGTAACACTGTAGGGAAAATTTCATGTTTTGAAATGACACAAAGAACACGCGACATGTAAACTTAATTTTGGATTGTAGATCAGTTCATTCTCCAAGATATTTTAGTTTTTATGAAAAAAAATCAAACTTTAGGAAAGAAAAAAATTAAAAAATATCACATTTCTTGTATCTTTTTCATTTGTTCGCTTGCCAAAAAATCAACCGATGAAAACCGATTAATAAATAAATAACTTTTGAATGGTCAAATGTAAATGTGCTATAATTTTTTGTATGAAATAGAAGCCTGAAATAATGTTACTCATACGTAATGTGACCAACCGTACTTTTTTCAGAAGTAATGTAGTAATGTATGTACTTCTTTTTGAGCCGTTGTACTTCGTACTTCGAAGTACAGTCAAATGTACTTCTTTGCAATATTTTGTTTCTGTTCAGCTGATTTGAGTTTTTATTTTTCAAATTATTCGATCTGCAAAATTTTAAATATTTTTAATTTCTTCTCACAAAAAATATAAATTGTCAAAATCTTTTTGCATGTAAAAACTCTTCCCATACAAAAAGGGCGATTGAAAAGCAACTTTTGGAACGTTCACCTAACTCCGCAGCACACTGATGCCTGGGCCTTGCTTCGAGAACCAAACTGCAATTTTTTCCCAAATTTAATTTTTAATTTTAAATTTTTACTTTTTTGTATTTCACATGGCACTCTTTGATTTACAAGAAAAAAATCAGAACTGTTTTGACACTTTAGATAAGAGAAGCAACGACAAAATATAACAATACCTGTTTGATATGCCTTGGTTCTACCTTTTAAGTGGAATTTTCTATAACTGTTTCGAAAAATTTTAAAAGGTTAGTCATCTCAGTTAAGAAAGGTACTTATAGATCAACACATAAAATTATGATTTTCAATCACTTCACTTCTCTAGCTGAAAAATTCCATTACAAATTGCTACTCAATTGCTACCCATGGAAATATTTAAAAAGTGGTCTAATGATTTTTAAATATGAAATGTTCGTCCAAAGTTTCAGATCGAGCACTTTAATTTGATACATATAAGCGCCTTGTCTCAGAATAATAAATAGTATAGAATTTTTAATTAATAAAATTTTTGTATGTATATTCTGCTTTTACCATTTTCTCATTACTTTCATAATATTTTTAGGTTCCAGTTCCTGTACTTCTTTAAGCTATGAAATAGTTGGTCACATTACTCATACGCCATGTCGTACATGGGCATACTCGTACATAATCGTACATGATGTGTACTAATCTATCAAAAATAGCGCCGCATACTGCCAAGCTGGTGTTGGAAAAATTCAAAGCCGTTTTTACACTCAACCAAAAGTTTTGGAACACTAAGTGCTGTTGATAAAATAGTAAAGGGCGGGGCAATAGGATGCCTAAGTTGGTGTTTTTTTTGCTGCCGCCCATTAATTTTTAGTTTTCACACTAAAATAAAAGTATTCGAAATCATGTAACAATTCCATATTATATAACATGGGATTTTTTTGAATTTTTAAATTTATTTATTTTTCTCTGAAACAAATATGCATACTTCAATGCCTAATGTATATCGATACACTCTATCTGATATTTTCACAAAAACTACTTTGTGATGCTAGAGTCCATCTGGGACTTACCTGTCATCACTGATGTTAATTCTGACTTTGCAGTTTAATAGTAAATTCTTCTGTCAAGCGCTATACAAGGTCGGCATTTATATCACCGACGACAGTTACATAATTCTTAGGTGGATTTTTATATCGGAATCTTATTTTTGTGAAAAGTGAAGATAGAGGGTATAGAATATAAGCCCTCGACATATTAATAGAAAATTGACACATAGTACAGCACACTTGACAGGCAGGCGGGGGTATGCATGGCGTATGAGTGATGTGCCAAAATGCAAAGTGGG